AATTTGATTGGTCAAAGCAGATCAAAAAAACAAGAGAAAAGTTTGGCTCAAGAAACTCAGATAATTGTCTTTTCGTATGAGCACAATTTTGAAGCAAAATCTGATCAAGTTCACAGCAGCTTTAAATTGTATATTCATAATTTATTGAAAATTTATGTAACGTTTCGATACGTCACGTATCATCATCAGACAAAGATTATTAAAGTACGACTACACACACTGTACAAGAGAATAAAACTGAACGCAAGGGTGATTGGTACAAAGAACACTAAAATTTTATCTTTTCTTTTCTGTCAAACAGAAGATAAACACCCGTAACACACGCGAAAAATAAAACGGAACGGATAAAACGAAAGTAAACTACAGAGAAGAACTGATTGTAGATGTGTTGTTCGGGTGTTTTTCTTGTACAGTGTGTGTAGTCGTACTTTAATATTCTTTGTCTGATGATGATACTTGACGTATCGAAACGTTACATAAATTTTCGAGAAATTATGAATATCAAATTTAGAGCTGCTGTGAACTTGATCAGATCAAGAAACTCAAGATAAGAATTCCATGTGCATGAGTTTCTTGAGATACGAAACTCAAGCACATGAGTCAAAAAGTCAACTGTATAACATCGAAAAAAATGCGTTTTGCATGGATAAGAAACGTCTCCACAGCATGAGATTATTACTGAAGAAATTCAAGGAAGTTCTGTGCTTGAGAAAAAAAGCTTCACAGGAAAGTTGAGAACAACTTTCCGGACATCTCCTTTGAGAATTCAAACTTAGATGGATTGTCCTGTTCAAGTACAGTAATTCTCAATATCGCAAGTCGATTTGTGGATCAACGCTACGATACGACATCTATTTTGGAAGCTGTACAAACTCCGCTTCACTATCTCATATAATAAATTAATACCAAAGTATAATTTCTGTTGCCGGTGGTAAGCACTATAAGAAGTCTTTCACAGATCTACTGAATCGACTTGACTAATTTCTTTCTTAGATAACTCTCGTGTCGCCACCAAACCTACCTACCTGATTCAACTGTTCTTCTGAAAGATACGTACAGTCCAGTGCGAGTGAGCGAAGTTCGGTCAGCGTGCTCAGATCGAACGAACACCAGTAGTCCAACATTTCTAGACGAACGATTTGCGTCGGAGCAAAGCTTGACAGGAACTCTAGCTCTTCTTCTTCTTGACATTGAATGACGACGTTTAATTTTACATCTCGAATTATTCCATTTATTCGTTGAGTGAGTCCCAAGAAACCGCGGAAATCGATTGGTTCAAAGTATCTGAAGATTTCAAGAAAGAGTTCATCGGCGAGCGCTTCGAGCTGAAGCGGAATCGAGAAAGGAATATCACTCATGTTGGAAAAAATAATCGTCTCTACAATGAAATAACGATAAACAGTTGTCGTTGAATGGCGTATTTTATATTCACATTTTTCCCATTATTTTGTAGTGCTGCAGTTGCAAAATTGCACAACTTACCTGCAACGAAGCAATCAGAGAAATATGTTTTCTTACTATTGACAGAACGCTATTGTTGACAAAAGACTGAGCAGAAAAAACTGAATTATTCGATATTCTCTTTCTTGTCAAGTCATTTACTAGAACAAAGAGGACAGAATCTGATGCGTTATTTAAATAGAGAAGAAAATTGAATGAATGCTCTGCTGTGTTAAGTGTCTACTTACTAAATGGCGCACTGGAGAAAGTGACGGTTTCTAATTTCCATTAAGAACAATCAGCCTCGATATGATACGTCGCACTGATCAATGGTTATGACTGAAATGCACGTCAAAAAGACCACATGCTCAGAGTGGATGATACGATAAACCACAACTAATCAAAGATTAGAATTCTCTCACATTCAATTACAGCAAAATGATTTTCGATATCAGTTATCTGTTACTGTTGCAGTACGAGTTTGTAGTAGGATTACCGACACTTTAAGCAGTCCAACAAAAATAGATACATTCGCTTTGTGAAATATTTTCAGCCTTTTATACTAGATTTTCAGACAACCTGAAGAAAATTCGTGATTACCATTAAAAAATTGAGGCGAACAATATACATTTCATTACTTTTATACGAATTTTATATGTAATCTAGAATCCTACGCCTTGCGGAAAGTTTATCTGCACAAGATCTGTTAAGTTTCTTGATCTCAAAGAATGCTCAACAATTCTTGCCAAGATCATGTCAAGTTTTCTGAGAAATCTGCCTTAAAAAATCTTGATGCTGATCTTGACACGATTTGAAAACATTTCTGTAATTAACAAAACCTTTGCTTACAAAGAAAATTAGCGATCATTTTGATTACGACATGACTCAGAGATACGACAAAAATGTAAATATGATAACTTTCCATCTATTTATAGTTATTGTAGCACTATAGTGTGGAGAATTTTTACTAAAATTCTGTTGGTTGATTGGGTAGACAACTAAATGTGTTATTTTTTCAATCACCATTTTGTTTGGCATTATTCATCCATATATAACAACAAGGTAAAGCTCGTCTGCACTCGCTCGGTCCCTTGATTTCAGAAACTTATATCTGCGAATGACCTTCGATGGCTTTTTAATTTACAACAAAGCTCACGCCTCCTGTCAGTCACCGTTCGCTAGGGGTCTATCTAAAGCATCTCCGTTCAATAAAAAAAATCGTTCGATTAGTTACGGCTAATCGTCAAAAGTCCCAAAAATATCGCTGACTAATCGACACAAAGGACTGCAACAATCGAACGCTAAGTCACGGAAAAGCCATCGATTTTTTGTGCGAATAATACCACATGGGTTGTACAAGGAACAGAACATAAAATAGCAGATATCCTCTCGTTTCGTCCCGTTTATTTTCTATCATTCTACTCATTTTATAACTATTCATTTTTTCCTATCAGCTGTGTACTAATTAATATTAATATAATTAATTAAGAGAATGTAAGAAATTGCATATTATATATTGATGGTGAAATATGGGCTAATATTATGTCAGAATATACACCAGATGATCCAGCAGCCACAACATTCAATGATTATTTGACAGATGCATATGTTGATGATCACGCTATATTTCCATCATTTATTTGAAATGCTCATGATTGAATTATTATTGATCAGCCGAGAAAAAATAATGATGTCGATGGTTTTCATAATCGATTGAAACACCATTTTGATGTTCATCCACATATTTGTGAGTTTATTGAAGCATTAAAAGAAGAAAATGAATATAATCATACACGTTATAGAGAACCTTTCACACAAGCAGTCAAACGGAAGAAAGTCTACAACAATTGTGATAATAAACTGAAGGAATATTTGAAAAGATAGAAATGATACTTTGTCTAATTAGGCAGTTGAATGTGGCAAATGTGTTAATATTGTAAAATTATCTGTTTCATCGTAACTCGTAAATAAAATAAATGTAACTTATAAAACCATATATCAGTTTCTTAGGTATCGTCCCAATTCGTCGACAAATCGGACACTTCAAAGAATATACATCAAAGAATTTCAAAGGCGGGAGGGGCGGTGTGAGAGTGAGTGTCGACGAATCGGGACGAATAGTTTCTTACATTCTCTTGATTAATTATATTGATATTAATTAGTACACAGTTGATAGAAAAAAATGAATAGTTACAAAATGAGTAGAATGACAGAAAACAAACGGGACGAAACCAGAGCTAATTAAGGGATCCACACATATGCCACATTTAACTGCCCGTTAAGTTTTAGACAAAGCACCATTTTTCTATTATTATTTTCTATAAGTTGATTGATTAGGTTCAGTTTTATTAAAGTTGCAGAGCTCACATACCGATTGCTTGGAATATCTTTGATATCAATGTAGTCTAACTGATTATCTTTCTCATTTGTGTCCCTAAACGAACCAGTTTGTTTTAGGTTCTATTTTTCAATCAGAAAAAAAGGATCTACTTACATAGGCTCATTGCTTGCCTGTGAATTTTTCTTGTTCGACTCAAAATTTGTAACAGTAGAACAAAAGAGCAGAATTAACTGTGGTTGTTCTACACAGCATTTAATCTGTATCTACTCATGAGGTTCTTCACTGTCCGCCATTGAGTTAGTTTCATCCAGATCATTGTTCACAGATGGAATAACAGTATTCAGTTGTAACGTGTCAAGATCTTTAGCTACTGTAACGTTTTCGTTTCCATCATGCGGTACTAACGTATTATCAGAATCAAAATCTTTCGTTGCTAATAATAGATATTTATTTATGTCATCCAACGAGATGCCATATTTATAGTAAGCCTGTTCTTTGGCGACTTTTTTCCTCGTATAAAGTGAGGCTCTTGACGTCATTGATCTAGAACTTGCCGTATTCAATTACTGACTTGGTGAGTTAAGAAATAAATATGCTTTTTGTAGGGTATATTAGGGAAACATCAAAAATTTAAAAAATATCTGAATGTTAAAATTCATTCAACAAACTCTTATACTGGTTCAAGCCTGATCTAGTAAATTTAGGCAATTGGATCATTTCCTGGATGACGAGAGGTTTTCTACGCTTAATTTTAGATCAAGGAGCAAATTTTGATAACAGCCGCTGAATATTGTTATCATTATTGCATTTCATTTTAAAATAATGATCGACTACATAGAAAACTGAACAAAACATAAGTGCTGTACATATAAAAACATTGGATACACGAAATATAGAGTAATATTTGACTTTTGCTCAAGTAAGGTAAATAATAGAAAAAAATAACGACAAGACACAAAGTAGATAAAAAATAAAACATTGAGACACTGTTTTCATTTGTGTACTGTTTGTTGTATATACAAATATATTTATGCTGAATCATAATCTCTATCGTTGTTCAGATGGATCAATAGATATTGATTTTGCTGCCACTGCTGTACAGATGTTATTTGAAATTCGATCACCGCTGTAACTTCCACGTCCTCTACTTCGACATCCGCTTCTACGTTCATTAACATTTCCATTGCTTCGTCCATTCCTTCGTATATTTCCCCGTGTATTTCCTCGCGTTGTACTATGTTGTTCTGGTAATCCTGTTGCTGATGATTATTGTTTTAGAACACCTTCTGAATTATCGTGATCATCTGTGTCATTTCCACCATCGGCTAATACTTGTGAATATTCTGCAGTAGAAATGATTTGATCATCCATTGATAATATTTCTTTTCTTTTGTCACCACGCATTAGAGCATTCATCGATTCATTTATTTGTGCATCGGTATAACCACCGGCTGGCTTTGCTTGATGAACAATTTCTGAATATAAAAAAGTTTTTTTTTTGTTCGATTATGAGACGATTCAGAAGGGACATCTTTATCTCTGAAATACTGTTGCATACCTAAAACAAATGCTCGAACATCATGGCCAATTTTCTCCACCAGTTGTAAAATTTTCATGAAAATTCTTCAAATATTTTTGACGAATTATTGCTCTTGCTAATGTTGTTTGTTTTGACGCTTTATCAATTATTTCCCATAAAATATGTTCATCAATGCCTAATTTTTGGCAATAAGCTTTGGCTAATTTGTCTGCAGGAATAGCTGGTGCGGATAATTTTGTCACATAATTTAAATATTTTAATACCTCGGCATTTGGACGTCCTGGAATTAAAAGTGGGAAAAAAGAGTAAAGGTTTATTAATACCAGTGTAGGAGTTAAAAGTAGTCGAGTTATAACCTGAGTTATAACTTTTGAGTTTTAACCGATCAACTTTTTGATCGAAAAGTTATTTCAGTTATAACGATCAACCGCAGTTATAACTGTCAACTGTAGTTATAACTACTAACCATAGTTATAACTACTAACCATAGTTATAACTACTAACCATAGTTATAACTACTAACCTTAGTTATAACTGTCAGAATCGGTTGAAACGATCAATTACCACAATTCAGCCACATTTTATTGCTCTACGATTTTATTTGACTAGTATAGTGATAGTGCGTTCTAGATTACAGCCTTCTTTCATTTTGTCTTTATCATTTAAGACGTCTTTAGTTCAGTGTAGGAGTTCAAAGTAGTCGAGTTATAACCTGAGTTATAACCGATCAACTTTTTGATCGAAATTTCTGTATAAGATTATTTGTTTTCTCCCTCTCTCTTTTCCCTGGACATTTCTATTTCTTTCGTTCCTTTCTCTTAATAATGTTTTGACATTCTTTGACTTTTTTACGTTTCTTATAAAACTAAGTATATTTAATATAATTGAAAAACATTTTTGTAAAATCATTTTACACAAAAAGCGAGCTTTCGATACTTCACAGTATCATCATCAGGCTAATATGACTGTGAATTTAGAAAAGAGATGCATATATATACTAGTTAAACAGGGGAGAACGAAAATACTAGAAAAACTTAAACATAGAAAAATATGTAGTATAGAATCAAGTGACGGTTACATTTTTCTATTCTGGACTGTTATTAGACTGTCTAAACGAATATCACTGTCTTTAATGAAATATCATTGTAGGCTAACTTTTTTTGTTCGTGCGTCAGTAATGTCTCTTTTATTTGTCTTTTAATTTCATTTTTTTCATATGCCAGTATACAGGGTTCGTCTAGATTTACAGTGTGATTAGTTTCAGCTTAATAATGTTAAAAACTGACTAGGATGATGTGAATTGCATCGTGTATGTAAAAGGCTGAATGGTCAAAATAAATCAAGGCATTTCGTTTCAGTAGCTGAACTCTTATACAAACGTAATGTTGTATTGGCTGTGAAGTACAAATATTATGTAATTAAGTAGAAGGAAAGATAGACGAAAGCATTCATACGCATATCTGTCTGAAAAAAGCTGAAATAGTGGGGATTTAAAATTAAGGGAAAGCGTATAAAAAACAATGCTAATATTATTGTCCTAAAAATCCGTGTATGTTTCAACTCTAATTGAATGTATTCGAGGATTGATTTTGAACTGAAACAGTATGGTTCGAGCGTTTCCTCTGTGAAGAACTCAATGGTCTCAATTCTTTCGATCGTTGTTGTGTTAAAAACAATGCATTATAATCATTATTTATAATATGAAATACTTTGATTATCGATCTCTGTTTTCATTATCTACCTTGTAATCTATAATCTCAGATCGATGGTGATTTGAATAAATGCAGAAGTTTAAAGCGCTAATGTAGTCTAAGTGTATTCCAAGTGCATTTAGCCCATTACAAGGCTACGCACTTTTTTTTTTCTTGGCCGTTAGACCAAATGTAATCTTAACGATTTCACTGGGAAAAATGCATGTAGAACTTAGGCTTCTCTCACACTTTTCAATCCGGGAAGTTGTCAGAATAGAAAAGTTATGTGATTTTCTTTTTTAAAACTACGGTTTTTCATATTTTGAATGTGCAGAGACGCGTATGCAAATGTTTTTGTAGTATTTTTTCCTTGAGTTCTGATACGTTAAACAAAGTTTACTTTTATAGACTAAATTCTACGACAACCACGCTAAGAACTTGAGAAAAACATGTGAGATGAAAATGGTCTAGTTTGTTTTAGCTTTTTAGCTCAAGAAAATCCGACTTTCATATCAAGAGTCGCCATAATCGAAACAGTGTACCATACTATTTCAGAGTCTTGCATCACCATTACGTTTACAAGGTGTGTATGAGTGGCAGCAGAGACAAAGTTACGAAAGATAACAAATATCTATAAAAATAGGATTCTGTTTCTCTCTTTAGCAACATACAAAAATGGATTCGATACTTCTTCCAAAAATTATTGCTAATCTACACTGGTCAGAAGCCCGACTACTGTTACAAACAAAGTACGACATATCAATTGATAAAACTGCTGAATTGTTTTGTGCTAAATAGTGCATGGTAGTCGAATTTGGACACGCGGCACTGAAGGACAAAAAATACTCTTAAAACAAAACTGTGGTACAATCTATGAGAAACACCCACCATATCATTTGGTTTATTTACCATTTTATAAATTTTGGAATTATAATGAACCACTTTCTTCTGCTCGAGCTGCTGGTACTGTTCACTGGACATATTATACAGAAAAATTAGATGGTTCGTTTTTTAAAGTATGCTATTTCAAAAAAGAATGGCATGTTAGTGGTAATAGTCGAATTAATATAAAACAATTTCGAGAAATGTATTTCCAATGTGCTAAAACAAACGAACAGTTATGGCAGGAAGCAACAACAAAAGTTAATCTTGATTAGTCAAAGTTAAATCAACAATATGCATATTTTTTTGAACGTTTTCATCCCCAATATAAAATCGTTATAAAATATGAAAAACCAATGTTGTATCATTTAGGTACACGAGATATGACCACCCCAGAAGAACTAGAGGTTGATATCGGTGTACAAAAACCTCGATTAATTCCATTTTCGTCGTTCGACGAGTGTTTGAAATATATGAACCAAATGCGTTTTGCTGAAGGCAAAGGTATAGTAGCCTGTGATCTCAAAACATATGATCGAATAAAATTAAAAGCCCATCGTACTTGTTTGTACCGTTGGAATGGAAAACAAAAACAATCAATCTAAATTTTGTCTAAATATTTGGCTACAAGAGTATTTAACTTATTTTCCTCAATATACCGACAAATATAACAAAACTGTACAGCAGATTGAACAAGTGATTCTTATTGATCTTATTAATGATTTTTCCAGAATTCATAGTAGTGAAGATAATATTTTCTTTGCTAATTTAAACAAAAATCACGTATCAATGAATAAGCCAGATCTGGATCGGAAAAGACAAATATTCATCATGACTCGTTCCAAAATGGCGAAAGTAACGAAAGAAAACAGAAGTCTTTTACATTTTCTTCCGCTTTAACGGAGAGAATATACTACGGCTTTCGTATTATACGAAAGGATGCGAAACTTTCGCATGCCGTCTCATCTCTAACGTACGTATTCATATAAAATTTTTTTTTGATAAATAAGAAAATGTAGTAGTGAATTTATTTTAATGTCATTTCCTGATTTGCATTAACAAACTGTAAATAATCATTATTTCCAGATAGTCAGTCACTTTTAGAAGCAATTTTGCTTCGTTCTATTTTCTTGTTAGTTATTGCACAATTGTTGAGTCATTCATATTATTCACATACGTCAGAGTGAAGCAGTCATGTATGAATAACTCAACAGTTGTGCAATAGTTAACAAGAAAATCAACAGGTACAACATTCATTCTAAAAACAGAACACGTACCATGGGTGGTCCCGGTTTCGTTGATGGTCAAGCTCATAATGAGCTCGATAATTTTGATCCGTGTAAATTTACCGTGAATGGTGTTGAATATTATAGTGCTGAAAACTATTTTCAATGTCAAAAAGCTACAACACCGGAGGATCACGAACGAGTGCGTCAGGCGGGCAGTGGTGTTGCTGTCTGGAGCGCAGGTTTGCGTGTAAATCCTCTTCGTTCTGACTGGGAATCGATTAAAGTAGAGCAAATGTATATTGGGAATAAGGCAAAATTTGAACAAAATCCCCGATGGGCGAATATCTTATGTGAATCAGTAGGACGGATCACTTTTCGCGCTTCTACATCATTTTGGAACGGATGGAACGGATTGCTTCTGGAACGAATACGAGCAGAATTACGTCACAATGGAATCGAAGACGATAAAACAGTGATGAGAGTTAAGAAAATGATGGAACAATATGCGAATGATCATCGAGAAATAGAAACGAATATGGTCACATTACCTCGCAACTCTTTTATTAAATGGTTTGCCGACAAAACGTCGAGCTCTTAAGCGAGTATTCTGAAATATTACCTGCGTTTTCTGTATTAACTGTTGTCCTGAGAAACATTCCGCCCTATTTTGAACTTTGATTTCGGTCGTAATGCGACTATGTGAAAACTGACATTTTCTCGTTCGGTGTTCTATCTCTGCGATAAATTTTAGCTCGATCAAACAACGGCTTCCCCGGATTTCAAGGAGATCAAACAAGAGGGGGCACCCTTAAGTAAATATTTTGAGAAAAGGCAGTGATACGAGCAAATCTGGATGCTAGAACTTCGGTCAAAGCTTATACATATAGTTATCTGCGTATATTACACCAAAGGCGCCGGAGCGTTACGAAGCTAGATGAGGCTCATAATATCTTTTCTCCTCTCCAGCGTACCTTTGTGAAACACGATTGCTAATGAGTGTTAAAGCATATAGCGAGAAAAGTAAAGCATCCCCTAGCCTGCCTCACAACTCATGAGAAAGATGTTGGCATGCTATTTTAGGTGTTTAGACCTCGGTATTTCGGATTTTAAATACATTTTTTGGACTGTAAATGGATTTGAAATCTAGAAATCCAAAACATTTATTTTCCGCCTTGCAATGTGATCTTGTGACTCCTGTCGGAAACCGTGACAGACATATCGATATGCTGCTCCTTTGTTTTTATCATGGATTGTAATCAATAGAAAGAGAGCCTTCATGTACGATTAAAGCGATTCCACAGTGTTTCATCCCGTAGGGATTGCACTGAGAGCTTATATCGAAGGGTCAGGCCGAATATAAATCTTCTTGTTGAACTTCAGAAACAACAAAATGATTATAAAATATGAAAAACCAATGTTGTATCATTTAGGTACACGAGATATAAAATAAAAACTGTGATTGGAATAGTCTAACGAACGAAGAAAAGTTATGACTGTTCGAAATATTTTGAGACGTCGAAATATGACTGATAGCAAAAAATTTACATTTGAGAAATCTCTACGCTCACTCATTAAACAGGAGGAAAATAAAATACACAGCTAGTACTATAAAAAGTATATTGCACTATGAATAACTTTTACTCAGTTCAAGGTTTAAAAATGGTCTACTTCTAACATCAAGTATTCATATAGCGCGAAAAGAATTACAAACAACAACAAAAAAGTTGTTTGATTTTCTCAGTGCTTGTTCCACGGTTAAATGTCAAGTAAAGTAACTGCATAGTCTAGATTCTGTATTCCCTGCTACGGGTCTACGTTCACAGTCTTTTGTTCGTTAAAATTTTGTTAAAATTTTGTTGAACCTTTTTCTGATAACTATACGGTCTGTCCACAGGTAACGCACTCAGCTATTTTCGCCTGTTTTTCTAATCAGGAGTTACACTAAAACATTGCGATAATGCACTCACGTTTTTGATAACGCACTCATGCGGTTTTTTAAAGCTCTCTAAAAATCATATATTTACACCATTGACGATGTTTCCATTTTTGTCCGAGAAAAAATAGTGTTCGAAATATGGCAAGAGACCAACGAGCATTTCAAAGCCATTTTTGCACAAAAAATGCTTAATTGTGGCTGGTAGTTACCATTTATTCTCGTAATTATTAAAAACAAATGAGAGAAATCGACGCAGAATATACGAAAACCTACATAAAAACCTTAAATAAATACAAACGATTGTTTTGCGTTCGAGAATTTCAGTATTAAACTGTAATCATGCGGGTTGACCGTTAGCTGGGCAGGCCGTATAGGGGAAAGTTGACTTTAATTAGAACAAATACCGTAAATATACAACAAGGGTACAAAAAATCCTTGTTAAAGGTAGGTAGTGGAACTTGCCTCAGATGAAGTACTATTGCAATACATTTCGATAAATAAGGCTTGGCAAGTGAACATATACTGTAGAAACAGTACGAAAGCCTACAAATACTGTTTTTACAGGTCGTCAAAAACGAACTGTCACATCGCTTTTCCAGTCAAACCCGGTGGCTTATTAGTTATCAACTAAGCTGAATCTGAATATCATAGCGGTAGCTGCCAAGAAGCCTTCAGACGGCGGTTTTCTGGAAGATCAGTTCACTTGACAAACACATTTTTTGTTTTCGTACCCCCATCAAACGTGAGATGGCAAGAACTATTCCCAAGGAGAAAAGATCAGAAAAAAAGAGGATTCCCCATTAGGTTGATCGGTAAAAGGAAAAAGAAGGGATAGCTTAGCAGGACTAGCGTAAGACCGTAAGGACGTAGTTAAATTCGCCCACAATGATGGATTCATGCATTACGGGATAGTCGCTCAGGGATTTGTAAGACCTTTAAAGCAAGCTGGTGCTGCGAACACGCATAGTTCTCTCACTAGTCGTATAAACGGATATCTGACGTCAGATATCCGTTTATAAGACTAACAAGAAAATAGAAGCTTGACCATCAACGAAACCGGGACCACCCATGGTACGTGTTCTGTTTTTAGAATGAATGTTGTACCTGTTGATTTTCTTGTTAACTATTGCACAACTGTTGAGTTATTCATACATGACTGCTTCACTCTGACGTATGTGAATAATATGAATGACTCAACAATTGTGCAATAACTAACAAGAAAATAGAACGAAGCAAAATTGCTTCTAAAAGTGACTGACTATCTGGAAATAATGATTATTTACAGTTTGTTAATGCAAATGAGGAAATGGCGTTAAAATAAATTCACTACTACATTTTCTTCTTTTTCAAAAAAACAATGACCGCCATTGTACTAGTAAAACCAGAAGTTGAACTAGATGTACTAAATGCCTGTGAGAATATCTGGCTATAAAAATATTATCGAGCAATATCGGCTTGTGGTAGCTAGCTATATCGTCCGATAGTCGATATTTTTTTTCTGCTTGCTCATGTACTAAAACAGTAAGGGGATACCTCCTATATCCTGATCGGGATATAGAAAAAAAGTAGTATCCCGATCGGGATATAAAACACGAAATTTCGTCGTAAAAACGATTAAGGAAAAATGACGACATTTTGGGGTAAAATTGACCTCACCATTAGAAAGAGCTCGAAAAACTACATCGGATTCTGTTGTGTTTGATCAAAAGTGTATCAAGCGCCCAGCAACTATTTTTTCGAATACAAATTTTTAACAAATTTAGTCGAATTTATATCCCGATTGGGAAATAGGCTGTTAATCTTTTATTGCTCATAATGGGATATACTCTTGATCTAATCGCTTTCCACGTCGACCGTGTTTTTTTA